GCTAGAAAAAAGAACATCAAGGTGATTGGCTAGAAGTAAGAACATCGAGGTGACTGGCTAGATGTAAGAACATCAAGGTGATGGGCTAGAAGTAAGAACATCAAGGTGACTGGCTGGAAGTAAGAACACCAAGGTGATTGGCTAGAAGTAAGAACATCAATGTGATTGGCTAGATGTAAGAACATCAAGGTGATGGGCTAGATGTGAGAACATCAAGGTGATGGGCTAGATGTAAGAACATCAAGGTGATGGGCTAGATGTAAGAACATCGAGGTGATGGGCTAGATGTAAGAACATCGAGGTGATGGGCTAGATGTAGGAACATCAGGGTGATGGGCTAGATGTAAGAACATCGAGGTGATGGGCTAGATGTAAGAACATCGAGGTGATGGGCTAGATGTAAGAACATCAAGGTGAGTGGCTAGATGTAGGAACATCAAGGTGATGGGCTAGAAGTGAGAACATCAAGGTAATGGGCTAGATGTAGGAACATCGAGGTGATGGGCTAGATGTAAGAACATCAAGGTGATGGGCTAGATGTAAGAACATCAAGGTGATTGGCTAGATGTAAGAACATCAAGGTGATTGGCTAGATGTAGGAACATCGAGGTGATGGGCTAGATGTAAGAACATCGAGGTGAGTGGCTAGATGTAAGAACATCAAGGTGAGTGGCTAGACGTAAGAACATCAAGGTAATGGTCTAGAAGTGAGAACATCGAGGTGATGGGCTAGATGTAAGAACATCAAGGTGATTGGCTAGATGTAGGAACATCAAGGTGATGGGCTAGATGTAGGAACATCAAGGTGATTGGCTAGATGTAAGAACATCAAGGTGATGGGCTAGATGTAAGAACATCAAGGTGATGGGCTAGATGTAGGAACATCGAGGTGATGGGCTAGATGTAGGAACATCAATGTGATTGGCTAGATGTAAGAACATCGAGGTAATGGGCTAGATGTAAGAACATCAAGGTGAGTGGCTAGACGTAAGAACATCAAGGTGATGGGCTAGAAGTGAGAACATCAAGGAAATGGGCTAGATGTAGGAACATCGAGGTGATGGGCCTAGATGTAAGAACATCAAGGTGATGGGCTAGATGTAGGAACATCAAGGTGATGGGCTAGATGTAGGAACATCAATGTGATTGGCTAGATGTAGGAACATCGAGGTGATGGGCTAGATGTAAGAACATCAAGGTGATTGGCTAGATGTAGGAACATCAGGGTGATGGGCTAGATGTAGGAACATCAATGTGATTGGCTAGATGTAGGAACATCAAGGTGATTGGCTAGATGTAAGAACATCAATGTGAGTGGCTAGATGTAAGAACATCAAGGTGATGGGCTAGAAGTGAGAACATCAAGGTAATGGGCTAGATGTAGGAACATCGAGGTGATGGTCTAGATGTAGGAACATCAGGGTGATGGGCTAGATGTAAGAACATCAAGGTGATGGGCTAGATGTAGGAACATCGAGGTGATGGGCTAGATGTAGGAACATCAATGTGATTGGCTAGATGTAAGAACATCGAGGTGATGGGCTAGATGTAAGAACATCAATGTGATTGGCTAGATGTAAGAACATCGAGGTGATGGGCTAGATGTAAGATCATCAAGGTGAGTGGCTAGATGTAAGAACATCAAGGTGATGGGCTAGATGTAAGATCATCAAGGTGAGTGGCTAGAAGTGAGAACATCAAGGTGATGGGCTAGAAGTGAGTACAACGAAATGACTGGCTAGAAGTGAGAACATCAAGGTGAGTGGCTAGAAGTAAGAACATCGAGGTGATGGGCTAGATGTAAGATCATCAAGGTGAGTGGCTAGAAGTGAGAACATCAAGGTGATGGGCTAGAAGTGAGTACATCGAAATGACTGGCTAGAAGTGAGAACATCAAGGTGAGTGGCTAGAAGTGAGTACATCGAAATGACTGGCTAGAAGTGAGAACATCGAAATGACTGGCTAGAAGTGAGTACATCGAAATGACTGGCTAGAAGTGAGTACATCGAAATGACTGGCTAGAAGTGAGAACATCAAGGTGAGTGGCTAGAAGTGAGTACATCGAAATGACTGGCTAGAAGTGAGAACATCGAAATGACTGGCTAGAAGTGAGTACATCGAAATGACTGGCAAGAAGTGAGTACATCGAAATGACTGGCTAGAAGTGAGAACATCAAGGTGAGTGGCTAGAAGTGAGTACATCGAAATGACTGGCTAGAAGTGAGTACATCGAAATGACTGGCTAGAAGTGAGTACATCGAAATGACTGGCTAGAAGTGAGAACATCAAGGTGAGTGGCTAGAAGTGAGAACATCAAGGTGAGTGGCTAGAAGTGAGAACATCGAAATGACTGGCTAGAAGTGAGTACATCGAAATGACTGGCTAGAAGTGAGTACATCGAAATGACTGGCTAGAAGTGAGAACATCAAGGTGAGTGGCTAGAAGTGAGAACATCGAAATGACTGGCTAGAAGTGAGTACATCGAAATGACTGGCTAGAAGTGAGAACATCAAGGTGAGTGGCTAGAAGAATGAACATCGAGGTGATGGGCTAGATGTAAGATCATCAAGGTGAGTGGCTAGAAGTAAGAACATCAAGGTGATGGGCTAGAAGTGAGTACATCGAAATGACTGGCTAGAAGTGAGAACATTAAGGTGAGTGGCTAGAAGTGAGAACATTAAGGTGAGTGGTGAGAACATCGAGGTGAGTGGCTAGAAGTGAGTACATCGAAATGACTGGCTAGAAGTGAGAACATCAAGGTGAGTGGCTAGAAGTGAGAACATCGAGGTGAGTGGCTAGAAGTGAGTACATCGAAATGACTGGCTAGAAGTGAGAACATCAAGGTGAGTGGCTAGAAGTGAGTACATCGAAATGACTGGCTAGAAGTGAGAACATCAAGGTGAGTGGCTAGAAGTGAGTACATCGAAATGACTGGCTAGAAGTGAGAACATCGAAGTGACTGGCTAGAAGTGAGAACATCAAGGTGAAGTGGCTGAGATGAGTACATCGAAAACTGGTGAGTGGTACATCGAAATGACTGGCTAGAAGTGAGAACATCAAGGTGAGTGGCTAGAAGTGAGTACATCGAAATGACTGGCTAGAAGTGAGAACATCAAGGTGAGTGGCTAGAAGTGAGTACATCGAAATGACTGGCTAGAAGTGAGAACATCAAGGTGAGTGGCTAGAAGTGAGAACATCAAGGTGAGTGGCTAGAAGTGAGAACATCAAGGTGACTGGCTAGAAGTGAGAACATCAAGGTGAGTGGCTAGAAGTGAGAACATCAAGAAATGACTGGCTAGAAGTGAGAACATCAAGGTGAGTGGCTAGAAGTGAGAACATCGAGGTGACTGGCTAGAAGTGAGTACATCGAAATGACTGGCTAGAAGTGAGTACATCGAAATGACTGGCTAGAAGTGAGAACATCAAGGTGAGTGGCTAGAAGTGAGAACATCAAGGTGAGTGGCTAGAAGTGAGAACATCGAGAAGTGAGAACATGGTGATGGCTAGAAGTGAGTACATCAAAATGACTGGCTAGAAGTGAGTACATCGAAATGACTGGCTAGAAGTGAGTACATCGAAATGACTGGCTAGAAGTGAGAACATCAAGGTGAGTGGCTAGAAGTGAGAACATCGAGGTGAGTGGCTAGAAGTGAGAACATCAAGGTGAGTGGCTAGAAGTGAGAACATCAAGGTGAGTGGCTAGAAGTGAGTACATCGAAATGACTGGCTAGAAGTGAGTACATCGAAATGACTGGCTAGAAGTGAGAACATCAAGGTGAGTGGCTAGAAGTGAGAACATCAAGGTGATGGACTAGATGTAAGAACATCGAGGTGACTGGCTAGATGTAAGAACATCGAGGTGACTGACGGGTATTGGTGGAAACAGCGTCTCTTCTTCATTTGACGAAATGTACACCGAGCGTCCAGTGGACAGATGTAATTAAGGCCTTCCTTACCATATCCACAAAAAGGAGACGTGTTAATGTCTATTGCGTTCTGTCGAATCATACATAAAAAGAAAAAATAACATTTAAAAAAATCTTCAGTTTTTCATGGTTATCGAGAGGACGTACACTTCTTTGGACGAAACTGTATTTCTTACAGAGAAAATACTCTACACCTTGAAATAAACTTTTTCTCACTAATCCACTCTTTAATGGGCCGTTAGACGGATGTGTATGCGTTGTAAGTATCAAAGGGCTTCTTTTAATTGATTGTGGATCTGAAACCGAAGGTCTCTCACGTTGTCCCGACCGTCTTTGTTGTGTGTTATTTCATACGACTTTCAAAGAGACACTACTCTGTGAATTTCAGTTGGATATTATGATTAATCAGCTGGTGTTTATAGCTAGCCTCTTCTGCCGCGGATCCATTGTCCGAGGCCGATAGCACTATATCCATTATCGCCAATCCCTCAAAGAGTTTAGCAGAAAAGTTCCGCCAAAAGACACGCGCACTTTCCTGTTTAATGGCGCTCTTTCAGATCTCTTAGATTGAAGATTAAAGGACTTACCAGTGTCTCTGTATAGCTTTGACTGGTATGCCCTATACTGACTTACGGGAAACACATACATTGAGTCTAGTCGATTTCAAACGATGGACGGAGCAGGTTCGCGCCAAAAATATGAATAACGGTGTTTATTGTGTTAATAGCCCGTGGCTATTGGTTCCGGGAAGATCTTTGAGGATCATGACAGAATTGTCTGTCTTGAACGCGATATCTACAAACGGTGGAGGATCAGGGGGATACGTTTACAGGTTTTTTTTCGCTAATGAGAAGAGTCTTTTATGTTAGTATACAAGTTAACACATACAGTGACCCTTGTGTTGTGTCTTCGGGAAATATCGGACTGTTTCGTCACTTAATTGCTTTAAGTGAACGTCAGACAAAGAGCACAGTAGCCGACATCAATTACAACGGTTGCTTCAGAAGTTTTATCGATTGGTATGCCAACATGCGGCCTCTACTTTGATACATTTAAACAGAACTTGTCAGCCAAATGAAAGATTATGTATAGATTACGTGACATAACAATCTTGACAATATCTTCCAAACGAAAACACCTTACAGCGATGCCATGTTACCCCGTCGTTAGAAACATTATAGCTGTACAAGGCACGCGATGAGATGGAGCTTGTGTAAATGCATCAAATGGGGCATGTGTGGTGTAATTGAAGGATGCGACCATAAAATGTCTGACTCCGTCGGTCATCACGTCAAACGACCACGTAGCCCACTGAAGCCATGTTTCATATTACTACAGCTCTCAGACAGGGCTTGTGAAGTGATAGCCTGTTTGGAGTACATCAAAGCTTCTAATATGACCGCACGGATTCATCAAAGAGAACCGCTGTGTGTTCTGTTATCGCCAAATAATGGTCAACATACGACCCAAGCACACCATTACTCTAAATCATCGACTTCATGATCTTCGATTGTTCTTTAGGTAAAATCATCTGGTGAGGTAATGTTCTGCGGGGAGTGATGGCGGGGGTTCCGTGTGTAAGAGAGGAGCGGGACATTGGCGCGTTGGTAAAGATGGCGGCAGGATGGACAGGTAAAGAGGCGAGGATTTACGTCGCTTGCAATGTTTATTTTGTAACTGCTGTTCCTTTTGTAGATGTTAGCTACCATGGTCAAAAGGAGATTGCATTATAGCCTTCAGTTTTAAAGCCTTCAAACGCCATCTGATAGGCTCTCTCGATATATGATAGCGTTCTTTCTCAATGGTATCGCGTTGCCGCCACTTTAAAAAACAACCATAAAGCATTTGATACTAATTGGCATTTCATCCAATAATGATTAGTTTCTTGGACTCTGGCATCAACGCCGTCTGGAGAAGAAGAGTAAAAATAAAAGCGACAAAACCCTTTCCACAGCCTGAAGAAATCTCAGCTCCAAGCAGAGTCGATCGTACGATTCTGACTGTTTTATGAGAGTACCTTCATACAGTCACAAAGTTTTTGTTTGTTTGTTTGTTGTTTAAGCTGTGTTTAGAAATATGCCAGACAATCCAGTGATCAACATCGTGAGAAACAATCTACGCAACTGGGATATGATGACGTGTCAAGCAAGTCAGCGAGACCGTTAGTCGCCTCTTACCTCAAGCATGGGTTGCAGAAGACCAATTCCAACTCTGATCTCCATGGGTTGTCAAAAACTGCAATTACCAGGATACTTCAATCTCTAAATGAAACAACGCTTGGTCTCTGACCTCTGGATGGGGTCGAGGATGCCAAGCTGTTTAAGGTGTCGCAATTACCTTGCGCACCCAAGAAACCCACAATCCTGTGATCCTGGGTTCGAATCCCGTTACGTTTCTTTGTTTATCTGTGTTGGTTGGTTTCCCCAAAGTGTTAAATGCCTGAGACCCGCATTCCTCACACATTAAGCTGCCATGCGGTAAGATTGTGTACACCAGCTTTCTGTGAGAATCACGCAAAGACCAGCATAGAGAAGTAGTAGTGAAGATCCGGGTTAGAATATTGATCTTCAGTAACCCATGCTTATCGTAAGAGGCGACTAACGGGATCGGGTGGTCAGGCTCGCTGACTTGGTTGATCACTGGATTGTCTGGTCCAGACTCGATTATTTACAGACCGCCGCCATATAGCTGGAATATTGCTAAGTACGGCGTTAAACAAGAAACCAACCAACTCAAAAACTAAACTCACTCACTCTTGTTAGGTTTATTACCCTGAGAGTTTGAGAAGAAGAACTCCAGTTATTTGGGTGAGGGCCACACTTTTAGAAGTAAAAACAAAGAAAAATTCCAACTATTTGCGAGAGGACTCGGATCATTCCCCGAGGAAGCTGAGAGGAAGAGTGTGAATGTTATGTGAGTGAGTGAGTGAGTTTTAGTTTAACGCCACTTTTAGCAATATTCCAGCTATATCACGGCGGGGGACACCAGAAATTGGCTGCACACATTGTGCCCATGTGGGGAATCGAACCCGGGTCTTCGGCGTAACGACCGAACGTTTTAACCACTAGGCTACCCCACCACCCCTGAATCTGAGAGAAAGAACGTCGGCAGCTATTTGTGGGATGACAACAGACCATGCCAAGACCATTCCTCTGAAAAGGAGATCTTCCTACTTTGGCCCCTGGACAGAACCTCTGTCTTTTCAACGCGATATCTACAAACGGTGAGGGATCTTTTTCGGGTACAGTTTTTTTTATGTTAGTATACAAGTTAACACATACAGTGACCCGAACAAGAACCTTGCTGAAGCGAGTGATTGATTGAGTGAGTAAATTGTAGTCCCGCTATATCAAGAAGTGTCAGTCTAAAGTGCGAGGAAATCTCCGACGTTGGCCACGTTTGGAGAAACCCGTGTGCACGAGTCTCGCCCAAGCAGACCGCCTCCGTGGTGTAGTGGTTAGAGCGTCCGCCCGGAGAGCGGAAGGTCGCGGTTTCGATCCCCGACCGCGTCATACCAAAAGACGTTAAAATATGGTACTTGTTGGTCCCTGCCTGGCGCTCGGCATTAATGGGTACAACAAGGACTGGTCGGCTCGGAGTCAGTATACTGTGTCTGAGTGGGGTATTCATGCTTCACTGCGGCATGGTATCTCAGTGGGCTAGCACTATAAAACCAGCTTCAGTCTGGGCTAGTACAAGCAGCCGCACATACACATACACACGCATGCACGTCGTCATATGAGCGAAATATTCTCGAGCAGGACGTAAAACCCAATTTCACCTCACCTCACCTCGCCCAAGCAAACATTGAAACGTTGTCTTCAGTCGAACCAAACACAATTAATGAGGCACCGTGTGAACAGTTGAGTGATCTACATTCTTATAATTGCAATGCAAACTTTATGGGCATTGTGTCCAATTGTTTTTAATTTGTGTGGCCGTTTGCTTTTATAGTGTGCAACATGTTCCACAGTCGGGTAGTTCTATGTTCGGGATGTCTTCGGTAGGCTCGGTATGGGACATACACAGTTTGGCTGAATATAACCCGTCTAGAAGCTGGTCTTCAGCAACCCACTTGTTATATGAGGCCACTAACGGGACCGGGTGGCCAGGCTTGCTGACGCATTTGATGCATGTCATCGTATCCCAGATGCGTAGGCCAGGGCCCATGATGTCAATCAGTGGATTGTCTGCTCCAGTCTCGCTTGTTTTAGACCGCCACCCTCAGTGAGTGAGTTTAGTTTTACGCGGCTTTAAGCAATATTCCAGCAATATCACGGTGGGGAACACCAGAAATGGGCTTCACACACTGTACCCATGTGTGGAATCGAACCCGAGCATTCGGCGTGACGAGCGAACGCTTTAAACCTACCCTCAGTGAAGAAGGAAACGTCACTGATCTCTTCTCCACTCACGCACTGCACCACAGGCGTCGACGTCGATGTTCTGGCGTCAGAATTGGCCGTCGCTCTTGCATGGTTGCGTAGACGTCGTGGAACTGTTGCGTAGACGTCGTGGAACTGTTGCGTAGACGTCGTGGAACTGTTGCGTAGACGTCGTGGAACTGTTCTTGCAGATACACTTCTGTTGCCGGTACGGCACGGGCTGCTAACAGGAACCTGTGTCGGAGGTGCGTGGTTCGAATCCATTGGTCTTGACGTGATGTCGTTACTGACGGGACGCTCAAAACGTGATTGTTTTATAGAAAACGTCGCCATAAGTGTTGTTTCTATGGACGTAGCATCGACGAGCACCTCTCGGGTATCAGATTGAATCATACTACATCCATCAGTCACTTTCCCCAAAGCATGGAGACCACCTCCGTGGTGTAGTGGTTAGAGCGTCCGCCCGGAGAGCGGAAGGTCGCGGGTTCGATCCCCGACCGTCATACCAAAAGACGTTAAAATATGGTACTTGTTGGTCCCTGCCTGGCGCTCGGCATTAATGGGTACAACAAGGACTGGTCGGCTCGGAGTCAGTATAATGTGTATGAGTGGGGTATTCCTGCTTCACTGCGGCATGGCATCTCAGTGGGCTAGAACTATAAAACCAGCTTCAGTCTGGGCTAGTACAAGCAGCCGCACATACACATACACACGCATGCACGTCGTCATATGAGCGAAATATTCTCAAGCACGACGTTAAACCCAATTTCACCTCACCTCACCTCACCTCACCTCACCTCACCTCACCTCACCTCACCTCACTCAAAGCATGGCATGTGGAACTTGTTTCAGAGCAGTGAATAGAGCTGTTTTTCGGACTTCTGCACTTGCGATCGAATTCAGTGGACATGATAAGCGCTTGTTTGTCTGATCTGTATAAGGGATCATTGAGGGTAATGTTTCTCGAATACCTCATGCTTCTTGCACTTTTTGTGCACAACCAACAACTGCTTGGTAGCGTTTCTCCGACAATTTTATCACACTCATTCTCTGGTTCAAATCCCGGGGCAGTAGGGTAGTCTGATGGTTAAAGCGTCAGCTCGTCACGCTGAAAACCCCCGTTCGATTCCCCACATGGGTACAATGTACGAAGTCCATTTTTGGTGTTCCCCGCCGTGATACTGCTGGAATATTGCTAAAAGCGGCGTAAAACTCATTCACTCACTTAGGGCCTTCGCAGCACGTGAACATGCGACCTATAGCTTTTGAGATTCTGTGAAGCACGTGCTTTACATGTGCATTCCACTATGTAAGAGTATGATCCCCTTTTTGAACGAAAAGTTCCGAAACTTGTTGCGTAATTAATGCCCATGTGTATATACGGTGTGGTTGGTTCATAGGCATGTGTATATTTTAACTTTTATGTTTGATGGCCGTCTTTTGTCCTGAAATGTTTACCACGACAAACTGCGTAAACTGTCCCTCGCCGTGATATTGCTGGAATAATGCTAAAAGCGGCGTAAAATCATACTCACAAACTCACTCAAATCCCAAATTTATTCACAGCATTACCAATGACAATATTCCATATCACATTACCCTTTGCCTCTGTAGCCGAGAGTGGCGTAAAACAACTAACTACTAGAGCATAAAGCATACCTTTTTCATCGACAGCAATAGGTCTTGGATATGAAAATCCCA